AGCGCGCCTGCCGCAGTGTAGCAGGGAAAGGGGGGCAACCAACGTCCGCTGCCTCAGACGCCCGTTCATCGAACGCGATAGAGCAGCGTCCGCTGCTTACGCCACTCCAGCTCCTCCCGCTTCGTCATGGCGTACAACGCCCGGTCTACCATTTTGCCATCAAGGCCCATCCGAACCATCTCAGAGATCAAGCGGCGGTACTCAACGGTCGCACCAAGCGTCAGGCGACGCCGAAGAGCCTCCTCAATGCGCAAAATGACCTGACCCTGGGCTTCTGTCAATATTTGATCGGCAGCTCGGCTGTGAATTGCATCTACGGTCGAAAATTTAAACAGGCGTATAGCTTCCTCGGCGTCCATACGTGTTGCGAGGACGTCTAAGCGCATCTTTGCCAGGGATTCCGTGATGCGCACGAGACTCTCGAGTTGACGGGCAGTGATTTGTATGATCGGCATTTGCGGCTTAGCGCCACCAAATCCAGCACCACCCTTGCTAGACGGATTCGAACTTACGCCACCACCGGAAAGCGAAGGTGAGGATGAGGATAGTGTCTCGAGGGTCTGCCGATGCACGTCGCGGCGAACCTGTACATAAAAGTCCAGAAGCACCGTCATTGCGTCCTCAGAGATGACAGAGTGGCAGGTGGCACGTGCGTAAGAGATGTATTTGGTAAAGAAAAGCCGATCCACGACGCCATTCGGAGTGATACCATCCACCGTTTTCACGGTTTCGTTCGCCAGATTGCTTGTGGGGCCCAGCCCGATCGCGTTGTCAGCCCCTCCGTCCTTTGGACCTCGTCTGCCCGTTCTATGCAGATTTACGACGTGATGTGCAAGACGGCTATCGACCTCAGGGTTATGAGGGTCGATGATCCTGAAAATCAGATCAAAACGGGACAGGATAGCGCTCTGAAAGTCCATCTGATCTTCATTTGAGCGTAGTGGGTCATAGCTACCCAGCGTCGGGTTGGCCGCGGCCAGAACCGATGTGCGACTGTTCAGCATCGTTGTTAGGTTTGCCTTTGCGATGGAGATGGTCGGCTGCTCCATCGCCTCATGAATGGCGACCTGGTCTTGATCGCGCATCTTATCAAATTCATCGATGCAGATGACGCCGCCATCCGCCAGAACCATCGAACCCGCTTCCAGCACGAAATCACCGTTGCCGTTCGAAATGACGGAGGCCGTCAGACCCGCCGCGCTGCTTCCCTTGCCCGAGGTGTAAATACCAATCGGTGCCACCTTTTCTGTATACTTCAGCAGCTGCGACTTGGCGGTAGAGGGGTCCCCGATGAAGAGCACATTCATATCCCCGCGCAAGTAGTTGTTCCCCTGCCGTTTCCGGGTTCCACTAAAGAGAAGACACACAATGGCCTTCTTCTGATCGTTGAGTCCGAAAATTGCGGGATCGATGCTGCGGGAAAGCGTCTCGTACACGTTACCGCTTTTTGCAAAGGCTTTAAAGAGGGCTTCTTCCTCTGGTTGCCAGACTAACGCCGATCTCGAACGGACTCGCGAGGAGAAGTTTTCGTTCACACTGACGACCGCCGCTCCAGCAGGGACGTCACCACCGGAGTGGAACATCAGGCCGACACCCCGGAGGTACTGCGCGCGGAGCCCGGCAGTCACGCGGCTGGTGCCCCGGCGCGAGCTCCCCGCGATCCCCCCGCGGCGTTCTTGCACGGCGACGACGCCGGCGACCTGCACGCGCGCGCCCGGGCTGACCCGGTCCACTAAATAGCGATCGACAACGACACCGAGCTGTCGCGGCAGCTCCCCTGTCGGGACGTCCTCGGGGAGCTCCTGTAGCTTCAGCAGCTGCTGATCCTCAAACTCGCAGGCGGCAGGGAGGAGGACATAGGGGTGGGGCCGGCAGCGCGCGCCTGGCCGAGCGCCGCCATTGTCGAGACAGTGCGGCGGAAGCTCCACACCGCGGCCGCCGCCGGCGATGACGGTTTGGCTTCGGCAGCTCGTACACTGGATCGCCGCCCGCACACAGCGCGCATGTGCGGCGCTTGTCTTGATTACAATCCCGCTCACGCAGACAAGCTGGGCTACAGCTGCCTGCGCAAGGCTCCGCAAGGCCGTCGGCGGGATCCCCCAGAAAAGCTGGACCTGGATTAAGCCCTGGCGCGCAAAGCGGGGGAAGAGCTTATATGTCTGCGCAAGCTCACAGATGGCGTGTTCCATCCGTGGTAGCGTGCGAGTTGGGGAGTACTGCACAACACCGGAAAGTGTCCCGCTGTACTGCTGGAGGTGGGACATCTGCACCTCGATAAAGAACAGACCTGCTGCCAGGTTCCCGCGCAGCATGTCCATGTAGAGGAAGTTGTTTTTGATTCGGAACTCTGAGACAAAACTTTTGGTTAGAGAGCCGATATCTGCCGCCTCATCAGAGAGATGTTCTTCCAACTGGTAGTCGGAGTCACCGATCGCCCTACTGCTGGTGCCGTGCATATTGTTACGTGTGCCATGGTAGTTCGTCACATGAACAAGCCCAATATCAGACTCCATTGGGGTTTTGGGTCTCACTCTTTTCCCTCGGTACAGATATATATTAAATAAATCTATCTAATATTTAATAAATTAAAAATTCTATGTTAAACTTCTTTTATTACAGTATACTTCTGCAAATAATGAAACTACACTATTGGACGAAATTACCATCTAGCACCAGAAAAATGCTAATCGGGAGACAAGGGGTTAACCCATATAACATGCTATTGGACTACATATTCATTAGTTTAATTTATCTATTTTCATTCTTTACATTTTTGTTTTTACCACTCGACGTAAGCATCAGGATTCATTACTCTCGTCACTATTTGTTCGATTATTGAATATTTTCCTTCTATCTAGTGCCTATGTAGGTCGATTTTTTTACCCAAGGCAGTTTTTTAGTCCTCATAGGTTTCTAAAGCTGTTTCGAAAAGCGCTTTGTTGTATCCATCGAAAGGGTTTTCAGGGTTAATATGCAAATATTCTCCCTCCACAAATCCATTTATCTTACGATTTACAAGCAGCGGAAGTAGCCAGACGACTGTTGCTTCGGCCACAGTGCGGTATGGCAAGTGATAAAATTTGATCATTTTGGCAACTTCTAGCCGATCGACCCAGCTTCTAACCCCTTCGGAACGCGCCTGACTCTGGCTGCATGTATGCAAATAAAACTTCATCACCATGAGCAGCATGACGTGTCCTCTGGCGACCATCATGACGTTGTAAATTCCTATCTCGACGTAGAACCCGCCGTTCTCGCGGATCACCGCGTCTAGGCGGGGGAGATCCGCTGTTCGAACTGCTTCGACGGCGCCGATGAGGGAGGGGGGGAGGCTCCCGACTTCGTTTTCCACAGGGGCCCGCCCCAGGGCGAGCTCCACCGCCATCAGCCGCCACTCAAGCCGTGAGCGGTGGGGCCCTGAGGGGGTCATCCCAAGGGCCTGCGCAAGCAGCCCCGCGGCCTCCTCGAGGGCGGGCCGGTCCAGGGCGCTCTGCAACAGCCGCGCGGCGTGGCCGGCGTAGAGCCGCG